AGACCCCGTCGGTTAAGGGATAGCTTAAGGGGTATAAAGAGGGGGACTAAGTAATAAAGGAGCAGCTTAGGTATATATAGAGCGCTAGTAATACGCCTCGAGGGAAGGGCAGATTTTAGTAATTCATCTTTTAGACCCTAATAGCAGTTGGCCTCTGTGAGCTTCTTCCCTACGTTACACACCTATTAACACCCAAAATGTCTGCAGTTGCCTCATCTCAAAGGCGTCTGGACACCTGTGTATACTTCACCGAGTCGGCTCAGTCTCAGATCATTCGACATTCTACTGAACGATCCAGACGTCAGGACTAAACGATTGAACCCTACTCTGCCTGCGCGATGGGCATGTCAAGGCAGACAGACTGCGCACTCTCAAACGTGACGTTGGTAATTGCGTCATACGCTCGCAGTTGCGTGCGCGCCTCTTGCGCACCAGTTCTCACCAAAGTTGCTATCGTCTCGGATCGAGCCAGAAAGCGAACTTTGAAAGGCAGTGGACGGTTGACCTGAGACACAGTGTACGCATCTGGGTCCAGAACGACTTCGTTGCCCTAGTTTAAAAGTCATTAGCTCCTGATGAAGACTTAACTCAGCTTGGCACTAGCCCACCTTTTCGTCTACACCCGGACGGATCTCGAAAGCCCAGAGAAGAGAGACAATGGTGAAGTACAAGCTTTGTTGGGCCAATGCTTCACCGCTGCAGACTCGACGTCCCCATCCAAAGGTATTGTGTCCACGTTTGTTAGGATATGCTGGCCCATCAAAACTTTCCATAAAACGTTCCGGCCAGAATCGATGCGGTTGGGGGAATTCCCGCGGGTTTCGGTGCATGGCGTAGAGATTTCCGATGATCGATGTTCCCCTCGGAAAGAAGAATCCGTTGTAGATTTCATCTTCGGTGGGTGCATGGGGAGGCCCACCAAGAGCAAATGCAGGCCGCCATCTGAGTGTTTCGTTGATGACTGCCGCCAAATACGGGAGACTGTCTTCGTCGGACCAGTCGGGATAACGATCGCGGCCGACGATGCGATCGATTTCCTCGTGCGCCTTGCTTTGAACGTCTTGATTCAAACACATAGCCAGAACAAAAGTCAGCATCGTGCTAGTGGTAGTGTCAACCCCGGCGCCGATGAAGTTGCCTGTGAGGTTGGAAATTTCGACTTTACTGAGGCCATGTTCCTCCTTCTCTTTCAGTAGTCTCTTGGCGAAGTTGTCTTGTACCGCGTTAGATCCCTCGTCGGAAAGTGCGTAAAAGTACTTGTTCGACGTTTGGGCTAGCTTCCTGAGTTGGTTTGGCAGCGGATTCAGCCATGCCGGCATATCAGCAAGAGCAGGTATGGCCTCGGTGTATGTCTTTCCTGGGAAACCGAGGTTGGCGCTACCGACATATGCTTGAGCTACCTTCAAGACTGTGTCTGATTCAGTCCCGATGCGTCTGCCCCAGGCAATAATGGATACAATCGATACGGTAAAGCGTAAGGCACTGTCAACGAATCGATCGGGTTTCGTCAGGCAGTCTTCAATCAATATCTTCGCTTCATTGGCTTGGGAAGTACGATATGCCTGGACCACCTGGGCGTTGGCAGCAGAGTGCTACGGAGCACGATTTGTTCATGTCAGCAGCTGGAATTACGAGCGGAAGGAAGGCTTTGTTAGAACCACTCTGAACAGGGATACGACTTACAGTCAAGCGACGGTGTACACGCCACTGCTCACCATATGCAAGTCCCGCTTGATTGAACTTGTTGAGGCCAAAGATCTTTCCGGTAAGTGTCTTTACAGGTCTAGATGAGAAGATGTTTGCCCGCTTGTCGCAGAGGTCAGACATAGACCAAGCATCGTTACAAATGACGACCGGGGTGTGTCCATCCCAGATTGTAATGATGGGAGATTGATACTTCAGCGACCATTCTTCAAACTTCTTCCACTGTCTGCTGCTTGGGATGTGGAAGATGTTGCCAAAAAGCGGTAGCGGGAACGGCCCAGGTGCCATTCGTTGTCTGAGCCGCAAGATACGGATGTAGTCTACGAGTACGTAAAATACACCGAAGGTCAGAGTGACCACGACGAAAATGGCTGGTAAGGCGACAATAAACATGGTGTCTACCAGGTTTGTGACAATCGCATAGGAAAGAGTGAGTAGAGTAGATGGTGATGAGATATCTAGGGGCCTTGTAGCGGCGAGCTTCGATTTTCCAAGTTTATTTCAATGTATGATACGAGTTACAATGAGTATCAAGTCATCGTCACGCTAGAATCAGACGTGAGGTGGGAACATCATATAAATGCGAAGACGTATCCAAAGGTATCATTTCGTTATCGTTAGATAGCCCAGTCCCAATGGCTTGCTGCGTCTTGTCAATCTTGACACTATCCCAGGCCCAGCTTGGCAGCTTCGAACACATGACGACACCCCCGGGGTGTGATGGGAGCTCGGTAAATGCATAGACAATGAGGGGTCCGGAAAACAGTCCCGGCGTCATACTGCGCGCCGGCCGAAATGTTACGACCACCCCGCCCAACCCCTCTTCACCGGGATTTTGAGGTGGAACATGACGGCCAACACTGTGAAAAAAGGAAGGATCTCAGTGTGAGATGTAGGCATATTAAGTCACTCGCAAGTCAACAGGTCTGTGTGGAATGTGGCAAACCAGGAACGTATGGTTATACCATGGTAGTGATAGTTTCAATTACCAATGTTCTTGTGTGATCAGAGCCTGCGGGGTTTACTAAGTACAACAATCCAGATTCCTGGAATGTGTATACAGCATCACAAATGCGGCCCCCTAAATCTGTTATTTTTTCTGGGAGTATTTCTTCGGCACAGGAAGAGTTGCGTAGTTCGACATCGCATCCAAATGCTCCTTCGGCGAGATTGGCTTCCCCTCTTGTACGTATGTTCCCAATAGCTTGAAGTAATTGATGTAGTATGCCGGAGTGTATGTGTTGAAAAACTTGGCCTCCTCGTCAGTCGGGTTGCTGAACGTATGCGGTGCCCGAACAGGGACCGTGACATAGTCGCCTTCTTTCGCGTCGATGGTGTCCTCGGTGCCATCAGGCTTTGGGATGTGGTATCGAATGGTGCCTTTGGTCGTCAAAAATGTCTCGTCATGCATCTCGTGCCAATGGGCTGGAGGTCCTTTCAAGCCGGGAGGGAGAGTGAACTCGGCGGCCCCGATACGATTGTCTGCAAGCACAGATACGGTTAGCTCTCACTTCATGAAACCAAATTTACACCCTTATTGCGAGTGTAACTGCGGATATCATTCAGTGGTAGCTCACCTGTGCGGGATCCATCTTCCAAGACGCGGCAAGTGATGAGTCCTAGCTTGATGACGTCCCCGGCTTTGGCAGGGACGAAGTTGACTGGAATTCCGTCCGTTGGAATATCGCGCCCGGGACCGAGCTCGACATCATCATCTACATCCATGGTGAAAGAGTTTGGAAGAAGTGTCGGGATTGAGAAAAGGTCGTATAATATTTGTATGCCTCAACAGTTAGTTTTCTTACACGTTTGGCCGCACGTTGAAAGTTCAGCAGAAGAATTGGAGATGTCGTGACGTTATATGCATTCTTTCGCATCACCAAGGTAACTCCATTTCATTTCAGATGCCCAAAGCTTGCACATAACGCACGAATCTCAAATGCGTGGTCTGGTTTGCTTGACAACGGGGGAAAACCCGAGCTCCGTGTTTGCGGATGCAAAGTTCAATCTCATCGGCCGTGTTTTCCACTTGCCTGGCTCATGTCCGCTCTGGCCCGGCTCGGTGGACATGGGCCCGACGCTACCCCCCTCACACCCTTACCCGGGCAGCAACTCTGGTTGTTGAGAATTGTGTGTCAAAGCATTCTAATTGCCGTACGTTGCGAGGGTTTTCTTTTCTGAACGTAAATACAGACATGATAGTCTGTAGAGCCACTGATTGATACTCTCAGCTCTTTTGATGTGAGCTACTTGACCTCGCCGTCCAGGAAATCGATTTCTCATCTAAATTCAAACATATCTCAATCAAAAAAGCATACGGTATCTTCTCGAGTTCCATCATCATGTACTTTGAGCCGGGCAGTCAGTCGGGAGGAATACCTCACAACCTTCCCCATGATCCGTTCAAGGCATGCGTTGTTCCTCGGCCAATTGGCTGGATATCGACCATCTCAGCAACGGATCCGAAGACGCACAACCTGGCACCCTATTCTCAGTTCAATAACCTCACATTCGATCCACCCTATGTTATGTTCTCGGCCAATCAAAAACCGGACCAGCAAAGAAAGGATACGGTTCTCAACGCGGAGCTGACCGGCAAGTTCTGCTGGAACCTAGCTACTTGGCCCTTGCGTGAAGCTGTAAACATCTCGGCTGAGCAGGTTGACTACGGAGTGGACGAGTTCGACCGCGCAGGTTTGCAAAAGGAATACAGTCGCGCGCTGCCAGGACATCCTGTGCCCATGGTCAAGGACAGTCCGGTCAAGTTTGAATGTGTATATCATACCACTCTCAGGCTACCCGCAAACCCTCCCATGGGAACTGTCGATGTCGTCATTGGGAGAGTCATCGGAGTACATATCCGAGATGATGTCTTGACCGATGGCAAGCTCGACGTCAGCAAGACACAGCCCATTGCTCGCTGCGGCTACTTTCAGTATACGGTCGTGCGAGAAACTTTTGAGATGATTATCCCGGGAATGGATGAGGCTACGCACGCAGGGCTAGAAGGAAACAGCGCGATTCACAAAAAGGTGAACATGTTAGAGAATGGATCGGAACAGCCGAATGGGGTTTCCGCTGGTTGAATGTTGTGCACTCGAGAGCATGAGAACTACTTGGTTTAGAAACAGCACACTTATCTTTCGATACTTGATTTTGATTCATATGAAGCAAGTGGCAACTCAAGATACGTGCATCATTAGTGCCTAGTACGTGATGGTGTTCATTAAGTCATCATGATTGGCAGCACGAGGTGCAGGTCACACTCAGCGTGACAAAATTATTCTCGGCTCTAATTATTCTAGAGAATAGTTTTCAAGAAAAGAAAAGCCCTGAAGATCCTGAAATTCTTCGGCCGAGAACGTCGTTTCATCGATCATCATCAGGTCCGGGTGCGGCAACACACCACCAATCTCGTCAAACTGATAGCCGTTGACGCTGTGTGTGTTCTGTGAATTTCCTTGTTCTGGCGTTCTCAGATCCCGTTGCAGGGAGACGTCCGTAGTGGTGATGGGAGGTGTTAAAGGACCCGGAGCATTTGTTCGGACCACCTCCGGGGTCTGAACTTGGTGTTGATGCCGGGAGCTGCTTGAGAGCAAGGAATCATAGGAATGGGAAGGCTTCGGAAGCGAACTGCCTGAAGAGGATGGAGCATGAGATGTTGTCGATGCTAGTGAAAATGCCGAGGGTTGCCCAGTCTTTTCTGAAGCCGTACGTGAACCCCTTCTTCCTCTTCTATCCAAAGCCTCTTGTCGAGCAGATCTTGCCTTTCCCAGCTGTCTGAGAACAGACCGCCATTGTTGCGGCTTTTGACCGCTCAACAATGAGGGAGGATGCTCCCACCTCAACACGGTGGCTTTTTCAATTGCCTGCCATGCTCGTCGGGATCCCTTGCAAAGAGGGTCCGTTCGAAGCCAGTGAAGGACCAGAGAGAATGCATGCCACTGAGTGTAGGAGCTAAAAAGCCAAAGCCAAGGACGCGTTCGGGGATCAGTCCGAAGTTTGCAGTTGAGTTCTATGACTTCGACAGCGACGGCGAATAATCGCTTGCGGGTTGGCTCTGTTATATCTTTCGAGTCCACATGTGGGTTGATGCCATGCAGCCTAACTTTGTGAAATAGCATTCTCGTCAGGACCATGGTAACCTGTGATGGGTTTGGTCAACACTAAGTGCTTCAGCTTCACGCTCATACTACCTAAAGCGGTGGCAGACGTGAACAACCGAAAACTTACCCAATGCAGAGCGTTTGTCGCCGAGTAATTTTGAAGGAACTTTTGAGAAAACTCTTGCTCACAAAAGTCGATCCAATCGTTGCGCTCTTGCTGTGACATTTCGGCATAGCTCTTGCTCATGTTTTCACAGTGCCTTCTCGAGTCCGCCATGCAACGGTACATGCTCGTGATTTGGCATCGGGCTAATGTAAACGTCATCTCCGTGATGCCTCTAGTTTCGGATGGATACTCGAGCATTGCCGGATACAGCTGTATGTCGTTGAGATTCCGCGGTGGCTGGCTATCGAAACTACTCATCTCGAGTCTGTGGAGAAGTCAACGAATTATTCTACTGGGCGCCTGCGAAAGTCTTAAGTATTACAAATTGTATTCACCCGAATAGTCCTCGGCCGAGGGAGCGTCCAGAACTGCAATTTGCCACCAAAGGCGGCGTCGCATTTCGATGTCGAATGTTGAGAGTCCGAACAGACTGCCTTCCCTATGAATGCCGAAATTCTGAGCAAGTCTAACGGCCAACCCCGAAAGGTTCCAGGAGAGCCGAGGTTCATGATGTCGCAGGAAGATGAGGTACAATACTAATGCCTGCAACGGTTGGATATCCCCGGTGTGGATCAGCATGGCCTTCGAAAGCATTGCTTCTACCTCGTCCCGCAGGACGGACAGGACCAGGGCTTGTCTGCTTTGAAAGAGCTGGCCGCACTCTTCTTCGCCCAGACTTGTTACCGCGCCGTAGTAGATTGACAGCATGATACAACGGGTGCCGTCTTCGAAGTCCACCAAGCGATGCCCGGTCACTGCCTGCTCCAGCGACGGCAAATGGAGCAACTTGGTCAGCGGCTCAACTCTTTCTTTGTAAATGCCCCACAAGTGCAGTTTTTGATCGCCAATTATAGAAAGAATCCTTCTCTTTGAGCTCGTAGTTTCGTTATCTAAACTCAAACTTTCCGGTTTTTTCGAGCACCAATTGGCGAAAGGATTAGAAGCGGTATCTTCGAAGTCATCGTCGTCTGAGCGATCTTCGTCTGTCGCAGAGCCGCTGCTGATCTACTTATCATTAGCCGAGGGTACGGTTTGATGTTGTGCATTATCTGACTTCACTTTTACAATCCTCCCAAAACCATCGTCTTACATAGGTGTCCCTCCCGGCATCGCGAACAATCCTGCCATCACTGCCACCATGGCTTGATGTTACACTTTGCAACTCGGCACTGGGTGGGTTTGAACGACCTATTTGGACTCCTGGGCCAATCGTCGGACCGAAAGATCCCAAGTCCGTAGCGCCGAGGTCTTCAGCCAAAGGCGAAGGAATCGGAGACTGAGGTCGTTCTCGGTCACCTTCATCATTGTTTTTGTGGGCTTGCTGAGGATCTACGGGATCCTGTCTGTCTCCATCTTTCGGCTCCAAAGTTTGAACAACTTTCTCTAGTCTTTGAAGCATTTCCACTAGCTCAGGTGTCATAACCATCTGTGTCTGGCTTGTCTTAGCGGCAGGGAATACGCATTCACCCCCGTATTTGACGCAATTCCGACATGGCTTCTGCTTGTCGCACTTGACCTTCCGTTTGCTACACAAAAGACACGAACGCCGTTTTCTCCCTGCATTACTTGGTTGTTTAGGAGGAGCAGCAGAAGCAGTTGTCGACTGTCCGTCGGTAGTCGACTGTTGCTTTGAAGACGTTTCGATGTTGTCTGACATGTTGTCGGGCGAAGATGGTAGGCATTCGTGCGTCAACAGGAAAGAAGGGCTTCGGACTGAAGATGAGAAGTAGATGCCAACTTGGCTTAGAAAAAACCAGGACCCGGAGACCCGGCCGAAAACGATTCAAGGCCTGCCATTGGGTACTTAGGCAGCGCCCAGAGAAGTCAGATTGAAGTGGTAGCTGAGGTAGTCGGCCGAAGTCGCCGGGTAAAGCTTTTGACTTCCAGCCCCACTTGAAGTCAGGACACCACATTAAGACTCTCAGAGATGCAAAGAGAGCAAATATGTGACCGTCAAAATCAGTCACAGGCTTATGAAAAAGTAGTCTTCTAGCGCACGTTCGACGAATGATCGACCCAGCAGTCCTTCAGACAATCAGCCTACTGCGATTGAATCTCTGTACACCATCAACTCTTTTCTCGGCAGTGCAAACTATTGATCACTTGAAAATGAAGCTCAGTTGCGAGGAAAGCCTGGTATCTTTGACAAAAGGAGACTCACCGAGTCTTCCCGGTGTTGCTCTGGCTGCATTCAACAAACATGGCGAGTTGACCCCGCCACTAAGAAAGACTGAGGGACTTCTCATTAATAGACGATACAGAGATTCTCTACAGCCAATGCCATGGGATCAAGAGGGCAGACGTCAAAGAGCAAATCACTCTTGATGATGCTTTTCGCGGATTCTCTTGCACAAAGCTGATTACAACAATCTCTGTACTGCAATGCGTCGAGAAGAAAATGATAGGTCTCGATGACGAGGTTGAAACGATACTGCCCGAGCTTAAGGACCCCGAAATCATATTGCCGGACTCTACTACATCCTTCAGGCTCGAAAGAGCCAAGAACAAAATAACGGTTAGGCATTTGCTGACCCACACCAGCGGCATATCTTATGACGCCATGCATCCACTGCTCGTAGCATGGCGAAAATCAAGAGGCGAACAGCCCCTAGTGATGAGCGGGAGAACCATCGAAGCTTTTTCACTTCCCCTTTTGTTTGAGCCTGGAACTAGCTGGGTCTATGGTGCTAGTTTGGACTGGGCTGGGGTGCTTGTGGAGAGGTTGAGCAATATGAAGCTGGCAACTTACATGGAAGAGCATGTGTTCAGACCTCTTGGTCTTACGAACACAACACTTCACATAACAGAAAGACCGGATATGCAGAAACTACTAGCTCAAATGTATGTACGAACCGGTGAGGGAAAGCTGGCCCCCATCCCTTCACCTTACCCGGAAGATGCACAGGAGACCTCCGGTGGGATGGGACTCATCACTACTACGTCAGACTTCGTCAAAGTCTTGACAGACCTACTCAAGGACAGTCCAGTGCTTCTGAAAGCCGACTTCGTGACAGAAATGTTCACTCCTCAGTTTCATCAAGGCACCAGTCAATACGAAGGGTTGATCAAACAAGAGGTATGCCTAGCTCCCCACCCCATGGCGTAGCAGCCAAGCTAAGCGCCCCAAACTCTAACACGAAGGACCGATAGGCTTTGCATAAACAACTGACGGGGGACGACACGGGATGCCCCGGAGTAGCATTCGGACTGGGTGGTATGGTAATCAAAGAGGATACGCCTAACCTCCCCGCAAAATGTCTGACATGGAACGGGATGCCAAATATTGGGTGGTTCGTTAACCGAGAAAGTGGGCTTGGGGCTGTCTATGTGAGCCAGTTGCTTCCAGCGGGAGATTCCGAGAGCGCAAAGCTTCTCGGGGAATTCTGGCGACGAGTTTGGGTTGATCATCTTGCGGGGCGTTAACATCACTTGAAATTGAGTACTAGACATGAGGGAAAAGTCAGGCAAACAGGGTTCAACATATGCAATCATCTATGTTAAGGGACTGCGAGTTTCTGAGGCTCTTGTTCTAAGGATTTGGTGTTCATTTCTTCACAACCCATTGTTACTGATGATTGGATATTTCATTGCCAACTTGTCTCGCTCGTACGCGTTTTTAAGCACACGCAATATCTCCCTCTTGAACCAACCAGACTGGATAGTAATAACTAGATGTCTCAGAGGGGAGTTCTTTTCGGACGCAAGAATGGATGAATCTGAGCCTTCTCAATATCCCAGATCTTCTCCTTGACCAACGGATCATCCATGAGTCGCGCTAAAATCCTTTCCCGTGTGGGCGCAAAGACAAGCATGGCACTGCCCGTGATGTGCGGGGTTTGCCCGGGGCCCACGGGCTCCGCCAAAGTGGCTCCTGCGTTGACCAAATGTTAGCTAAACATGGATTTGGACGGCATTGATGAACGACGGCCACGGGGCAGCGGATATCCCACCTCCAAACACCCAAAAGCCTTGAGGATCTGTTTTCATCCGCTCAATGTGTTGTCTGTTTCGCGTCGGGATGTCAATTCATCATCTGCCCTCTGAGTCTGGGCTGAGACATACGGGAACACCGCAGCCCTTCGGTCTTTGGCCTCCGGGAAGTCTGGGACGTGAATGAGCCACTCCGAGTTTCCTATCTGCTGGTTCGATGATGTCTCCATTGCTGCCATGTTGTCGCCTGTGTAAATATCTCTCTAGCTTAACATGGAGCAATATTGATTGATCGATTTAGGGACCACCTCAACTTATACAGAATATGCTGACGTCGGTTCAAGTTCACGTTCGCTCTGGAATACTTCGCTCTCCGAAACGCCGACTGGGGTTAGAACGGAGAGCTGGACCGGAGGGATCGGCCGAGCTACTACGGAGTACTGCGGTTTACTTCTCTGCTAATCATATCCACATTCCCAAACACGGCTACAACCCCACAGCGCTATCATCAGGGGCCAACGTAGTGCGCAGGAGTGGACTGCCGGACGGGTTCCCCGCCAAACACTTTATCATCTAAGAGCCCTAGTCCGCCATGGCGTTGATCTATGCCACGGTCCCATGTGCCGTGAACAAGAAAGGTAGAGAAAAGGTAACGCAGTGCCGCTTCAGCTGCTGCGCTCTTACAAACACGTCTTGTGTTGGTAATTGTGTCCATCGTGATTCGTGTGTAGGTGCTTCTCCCCGCACTTCGCCCCCCCTGTCCAGGCCTTATCTCTCGGCCTACACCATGTTCCCTTCGTGCGCCTCGTCCCAACATGGCTTGGTGGTGATGAATCTCCCTCGTGATCCCTCCCTTTTCCATCACCTTATCTCCATGTAATTTATTACTCCAGCCTTCGTTATCTTCTGCTTGTTTTGCAAAGCAAGTCTTTCCTTCGAAATCCTCATTCTGTCCGCAATCACGCGTGATGCAACGCGGTACACATGAAGCAACTCATCTTCACGATATAGACAACTCATGAGCAAGCGACGTTCACGTTAGGCGTATTGTCCTTATAGATCCAAGGACGAAGCAAAAACTCGGCTTATCTTTTCGGCCTCTCGGGTGTTCAGACCGTAGAGTCCGCTTGCGTAAGATTATGGGGCCTGGAGTGCTTGAAACCCCGGCGAAGGCTCGATCGCAAGCCTCGCCCGGCAATCAAGCAATTGCGGACTCCATTGTCGCTGCATGGAATCCCTCCAACACAGAAGACCGGCACCAGCAAGGACAGCAACAACAGCAGCAGCAGCAGCCTCTTCAATCCAACCAACAAAGCAAGACATCTCGAAACCAGCCCCTCCCACGCCGCGTCTGCACAGCATGCCGTCGCCGGAAGGTCGGTTGCGACAAGAAACAACCGTGTCATCACTGCGAGAAGTCTGGAACAGACTGTGTCTATCCGCCTGAAGGAAGCTCGGCTGCGCGGCAGTTTCTCACTGATAATCAGCTGTGGGAGCAGCTTCACCGTCTGGAGCCGATGTTCAAGACCCTGGCAGAATGTATGCAACAAGGCAATATTCCAGGATCCTCTGCCCCCATCGTAGGGTCAAGCTCCCGTCCAGAGTCAATATCAACACTCCCTCAAACGCAACTACCAGAATTCAATAATGATTCTGCCTCACCTTCACCACCAACCCCCCCGAATTCAATCGGCTCTTCGACAAGCGCATGTAGAGACACGAGGAAAGAGAGCGTCGCGATCAATTTCAGCACTATGCAGGTGGAACAGGCCGCGATT